CAGCCGCCGCCTTCCGCGCCGCAGCCGCCGCAGCACTCGCAGAACCAGGCGCACGGCAAGGGCGGCCACCGCGCCAGGTCCGCCGCCGCCGCCGCCGCCGCGTCCTCCGCGTCCTGCTCGCGCAGGCTCGGCCGGGCTCTCAACTTTCTCTTCTACCTCGCGCTGGTGGCCGCGGCCGCCTTCTCGGGCTGGTGTGTCCACCACGTCCTGCAGGAGGTCCAGCAGGTCCGGCAGGGCCACCAGGACTTCTCCAAGCAGAGGGATGAGCTGGACCAGAGCTTGCAGGGTGTCGAGCAGAAGGTGGGTAGCGCACACTGGGGGGCCCGGGACCCCCCCGCCTGGTGCCCTCGAAGCCCGGCCCCAGCCCTTCCTTTCCTGCCCAGAACCCTGTGACAGGAGCTGGGACCCCGGCGCCCATTCTCTTCACCGGCCCCCTAGTTCCTGGGGCGGTCCCAGACCCCCTTTGTTAATGGCCAGAGACAGAGGAATGGACCCGCAGAGGGATGGGAGAGGGATGGAGAACTGACTGCGAGGATGGCCAGGCGACCAGGGGGGAGGTGGGCCAAGGGCCTGTCACAGGACATTAGCTGTGACCTGTAAGGAGGCCGGCAGGCTCTGGGGAGCCCATTCTTTTTTTTGCTTTAGGAACCGCTGAATGGGCAGAGTTGTCTGAAAAGGAGGTTGGAAGGGAAGCCAGCGCATCCCTGGCAGCCTTGGTCCAGGCCCAACCTCTGGTTCTGCGGGTGAAGACATCTGAGCCAGTTTTTAATAGAGCCAGAGCTTGAGGGGAGGAAAATCTAGTGATCTTAGTCATTTGCTAAGTTCAGATGAAATTGTGTCTATCTTTAGGCCCCTTAGCTGGACCAGTGTGTCCACGTGGATCTTTGAAGTACTCTACTCCACCTTCAGAGAGGCAAGGCTGAAGTGTTAGGTCAAGCTGGAGAATAGTAGTCCAAGACACGTTTTGTGATGTGTAGAGGACTTGCTCCTGTATTTTCTAATCCAAAGAGCAATCTGGGAGGGAGAGAGGAAGGGAGAGGAGGGAGGAAGGGGAAGGAGGAAGGGACTGAAGAAGGGAAGGAAGGTGGGAAGATAATTTGGACTCCATTTCCCAATATGGAGTCAAAATGGAGATTTAGAGACGTGAACTGAATTGACAAAGACTCCAGTTGATTGAGAAAGTCTGGCCCACTGTGTGGTGAAAGGTCCCCAGGGAGCTATTTCAGGGCTGGCTAGACCCAACTCTGCAGGCACAATTGCTTAGCTTCTACCCTTCCAGACATTGTCAGCTCCCTCTCTCTCAAATGGCCTCTCAATCCACCACCCACATCCTTGCTCAATGAAACTTGGTTGCAGGACTGAAACAAAAAATCCCGCCACTTGTGAGCCCGGAACCACTTGCCTCCCTTTTCCCAGCATGCTGCCTGGCCTTGCCAAGTCTCTCTACTTTTTGTTGAGTGTGCAGCACCAGGAATTTCCTCTTAAGACTGGAAAAGCAACTGGAATGAGTCAGCCCGCTGCTAAGTGCAGGCCAAGGGAGGTGACTTTTCTGAGGGAATCAAGTAGGCAGTGCCCGTTTTGCCTATGCTAAATGCCAGATCATCCTCAAAAACTAGACACTCTGTCGGAGTCTCATCGCCAGCCGGTTTCCTGTCTTTCATCCACCCACTTTGCTAATCAATCATAATATTTATTGAAGTCTGATAGTCATCTGGCTCTGCGTGGGCCCCGTGGAGGAGCAGAAGACACAAAGCACACTTGTGAACTGGCACACTAGGCTTGGGACGAGGGAGTGTGTGGAAATTACCTGGGCCTGCATGGGGGGTGGCTGAGACAGTGCCAGCGATCTAGTTGGTGCTCAAAACTCGTGGGAATGAATGTGAGGAACACACATAGGGGGACAATCTTGAATATGCCTGAGAGACAGGAGGCTACCCTTCCTGTGGCAGAATGACATTCAGGAAGTAGAGCCGAAGTTGGAAGTTGAGGCCAGAATGGGGGAAAGTCTTGAACCTAGGTTGAAGAAACGGGGGTATTACTTCTTGTGCTGCTTCCCTGTCCCTTGGTTTCACCCCTTCTGGCACTGCTACACGCAAATCACCTCATTCTCCCAGTGGGAGGAAGGCACAATCAAGATTTGTAAGACTTGGGGCTGTGGTGGGGGAGGGTCGGTAAAGTACTTGCCATGCAAACATGAGGACCTGAGTTCAGATTCCCAGTACCCATGTAGAAATCCAGGCACAGTGGCATACACTTATAATCCAAGTGCTGGGAAGGCAGAGTCAGGAGGATGTCCCCACGTCTCCTCAAGTCTTTGAGCTCCAGGTTCAATAAGAGACCTGTGCCAAAAAAAGAAAAGAAAATGGAGAGCAATAAGAAGATACCTAGCATCAACCTGTGGCTTCCATAGGCACATGTACACATACATCCACTCACACATAACATATGCACAAATGTATACACACACAAAGACAGATTTATAAAAATCCTCATGGAGCTAGGTGTGGTGGTACACAGCTTTAATCCCAGCACTTGGGAGGCAGAGACAGGCGGATCTCTGTGAGCTCGAGGTCTGGTCTGTTTAGAGAGTTTCAGACCAGTCAGGGCTACATAGTGAAATCCTGTCTCAAAACAGCAACCACCACAAAAAAATCCTCATGACCGTAAAGCTGATGAATAGTAACTACCTTCTAAAAAAATTTAGTAATGTCATCAAACTATTATTTACTACCTTATATATACATATAGTGCACTTTGCACAGGACCACAGGTGCGTTCAGGGCTTCAGAACATGTGGGCAGTTCAGCTGTCAGCCCTCAGAAGAGCCTGTGTTGCCCTGGCTGACCCAAGGTTGCCTGGAGCATTTGCAGGAGTAGTCTGGGAGAGGAAGAGCTGTTTGTAGAGGAATGAGTTCTCTGGTTGTGCCTCCTTGTTTCTCATCTTGTTCTCTGGAGGTGGAGTTCAGGCTGTGGGTGGTAGCCACCTTTCTTCTGGGCTTCCTTTGCCCGAGCGTGCTCTTGTTGAACTTAGGTCCTGAGGTCAAACATTCTTGGGATTTTGATGCTTGACTCTGGCACTTATACCCTGCGTGGTTATTGGTGTACTGTAAGTGTCCCATTACCTGTCAGCTATTGGTAGCAACCAGTCTGCCTGCCCTACCCCAACAAGGCTTCATGAAGGCAGGGATCCCTATTTAGCCATTATTTTGTCTCTAGCATCTTACCCAACACCTGAGAGAACAGAGGTAACACATATTGATTATTATGAGCTCTTTGTACATAAAGGTGAACAACTCACAACCTCAGTGGGGGAGACACTGGGTTCCTTTTCAGAGTAGTGTTGGAGTTGGTACGCTTGGTTTTATCCATGGTTTCAGATCTGAATCACTTCCTAGCCGTTTGTAAAGAGCCAGCCAGGTATTAGGTTGGAGCTGGGCCTGCCCAGTCTTTATTGGGCATCGCTCTGAATTCCTTCATTCTTTGGTCCATTGAGAAAACACTGGTTGCAGCCTGCCATGTTGCAGGTACTGTGCTCAGCCACTCATGCTTCTATTTTAAGTTCTGTGCAGGAAGGTATTGTGATTTACTAACCTAGTTTTAGAGGTCACCTCTCTCTGGTGCCTTCTCAGAGTATTCTTTGTGCTTCAGGTTGCTTTAGATGGGCAGAAAAATTGCCTACTTTCTGCAGTTCCCGAGAACCCTATTTTAATCTGTCTTAAAGTCACAGATGGGTGGAGATTGAAGAGAATTGAGAGACCCCATTTGCTAACAACCTGGGATTTGGAAAGTGAATGTGATTTTTGTGTTCACAGCGGTTCTTGGTGGCGATGCGTGGGGGTTGGGGAGGGGGCAGCCTGTCTGCATCTGTGTTCTCAGGTTCTCCTCCTCCCCTTTGGCCCTGGATCGAGGGTGCTGCGAGGAGACGCTGAGCTTCTGAGGTACTTCACAGAGAAGCTAAACCACAGTGAAGACGGCAGCTGCCGCACATTGAGCATCCACACAGTTGAGCACTTTATATATATGAACTCATTTAATCTTTATACTGACAATCCCATGAGTCAAGTACTATTTTTGTTCTTCCTCATGTAGCTGAGGAAACCAAGTTACAGACAGACTATGTAACCTGCCCAAGATTAAGCAGCAGTGAAGTATTAAACCTAGCTTTACCTACGCAGCCCTTACGTTGTTTGTTTTGTTTTGTTTTGTTTTGTTTTGTTTTGTTTTGTAAGATAGGGTCCCATGTATCCCAGGCTGGCCTCAGGCCAGCTATGCAGCTATGTAGCCTGTCTTTGAACTTCTGATCCTATTGCCTCTGCCTCCTGAGTGCTGAGATCACAGGTGTGCACCATCATACCCAGTTCAGGGCTGGAGTGAACCTAGGGCCCCATGCATGCTAGGCAAGCAGTCTACCAGCTGAGCTACACCCATGACCCTTATTGCTTTTCTTCTTACCATGGTGATGCTCAGGTGTAAACAGAAGACGGAAGGAGAGAACAAACCTGATGAACTCAGTTTGAATAAGTATCAATATTTTGCCATTCTTTCTTCATTCTACCCTTGACCTCCCTGCTTTTTTCCTGGCCAGAGTTGGAGCAGTCTGATCCCTACCATCCCTGCTGTTCTGTGGGGTGCTCCCCCCTCACCCCTTCCCTGGCCTCTCTTTTTCTCCAGTTACTCTTTGTGTGATAAAATGGACCTGGTTGTGTGAATGGATGGAATACAAGCCAGAGGCTGGTCTTTGCTACCCCAGAAGATTCGGCAGGTGCAAGTGAGTCCAGGGCTTCAGAACGTGGTGGCGGTTCAGCCTGGGCCCTCAGAAGAGCTTCTGTTGCCCTGTCACACTCAGCATAGGGAGTGAGGAGCTAATTTTAAAACAAAGCCCTGACCAACATGTTAGTTCCAGGTACTTCAGGATTCATTTCTAACCAATGAGAGTTTCTTTCCTCCCTTGTGTTACCTGCTGAGCCACCCTGCTGGTTTGTCTTTCTCTTTTTCTCTTTTTCTCTTTCTTTTTTTTTTTTTTTTTTTTTTTTTTTTTTTTTTTGTCGTTTATTCTAGGCTAGCCTCAAGCTCACTTTGCAGCCCATGCTGGCCTGGACTGACATCACTTTCCTGCTTCAGCCTCCCAAGTCCTGGGACTGTAAGTGTGAGCCACCATGTCTGGCACAAACACTTTTTGATCTTTTTGAGTCAGGGTCTCCCTATAGCCCCAGCTGCCCTGGAACTCAGAACTCACTATATAGACCAGGCTGGTCTCAAACACACCAGCTGTTCTGTATAGCTAACATCTGGGTTTTGGTTGCAGGTACAGTCTCTGCAAGCTGCATTTGGGACTTTTGAGTCCATTCTGAGAAGCTCTCAACATAAACAAGATGCCACAGAGAAAGCTGTGAAGCAAGGGGAGGGTGAGATCAACCGCATCAGCGAAGTCCTACAAAAGCTGCAGAACGAGATTCTCAAGGACCTGTCAGATGGGATCCATGTGGTGAAAGATGCCCGGGAGCGGGACTTCACATCCCTGGAGAACACAGTGGAGGAGCGGCTGACAGAGCTCACCAAGTCCATCAATGACAATATTGCCATCTTCACGGAAGTGCAGAAGAGGAGCCAGAAGGAAATAAACGACGTAAAGGAGAAGGTTGCCTCCCTGGAAGAATCCAAGGGGGATCACAATCAGGACCTGCAAATCCTGGAGGAAGCCATCAAGGAGATGCAGGCCTCTGCGAAGTCCAGGGAGAGGGACATCCAGGCCCTGCAGAGCTCCCTGAAGACCATGGAGTCCGATGTCTACACGGAGGTCCGGGAGCTGGTGAACCTCAAGCAGGAGCAGCAGGCATTCAAGAAGGCGGCTGACTCAGAGCGCCTGGCCCTGCAAGCCCTCACAGAGAAGCTTCTCCAGTCCGAGCAGTCCTCCTCTCGCCTCCCAGAGGACATCAGGAGACTGGAGGAAGAGCTGCAGCAGCTGAAGGCTGAGGCCCAGGGCCCGGAGGAAGCCATTGCCTTCAAAGACTCCAAAGCCTTAGACGAACTCCAGAGACAGAACCAGGGCCTGGGTGCCAGGCTCCAATACGTAGAGGATGGCGTCTACTCCATGCAGGTGGCTTCGGCTCGCCACACCGAGAGCCTGGAATCGCTCCTGTCCAAGAGCCAGGAGTATGAGCAGCGCCTGGCCGTGCTGCAGGAGCAGCTGGAAGGCCTGGGCTCCTCCTCCGACCTGACCAGCACGGTGAAGAGCCTGGGGGAGGCCCAGCTGATGCTCTCCAGTGACCTGAAGGAGCTGAAGCAAAGCATGGGTGAGCTCCCTGGCACCATGGAGTCCCTACAAGAACAGGTGCACACGTTGCTCAGCCAGGACCAAGCCCAGGCCTCGAGCCTGCCTCCTCAGGACTTGCTGGACAGACTTTCCTCTCTAGACAACCTCAAATCCTCAGTGAGCCAAGTGGAGTCAGACTTGAAAATGCTCAGGACTGCCGTGGACAGTTTGGTCGCCTACTCGGTCAAAATTGAAACCAACGAAAACAACTTGGAGTCAGCCAAGGGTTTACTAGATGACCTGAGGAATGATCTGGATAGGTTGTTTGTGAAAGTTGAAAAGATTCATGAAAAGATCTAAAGGAACTGTGTGTGATGGGCATGAATTTATATTCCAGTTTCTTATGACCAAAAATGTGTTGTTTCCTCCCAATGCCCTCTCCCCAGTTTCTGACCCCCACTCCCACCCAAAGCAGTAGACACAATCTGAACGCCATAGCATCATGTTCTGTGCCCAGTTAATTTATTTCCAAATATTGCCACATATCTTTTGGTTTCTTAAGTCCTCTACTTCTGCTTGGGTTGACTTCCTGAAGGCCCAGCCCTGAGTAGAAGAGGTAGCTTTTAAGAAGAGCCGTGTCAAGTGTCAGGAAAGGGATGGTAGCTTCAACTGGGGGTCAACAAAAGCAGATCAACCTTAAAAAAAAAAAACGAAAAAACAAAAACCCTATCTGGCTGGAAGATCAAAAAACGAGGGGCACTTTTCTTTTTAATTGCCTTTAAGGAAAATTAATTTTACTTTTTTTTATACTCTTGGCCAGACTTTTTTTATGAGATGTCTCTTGCTTGTTGTCTTCCATTTAGAACTGGTTAAAACTCAGAGATATTAGCTCCGAATGGGGAGAGGGAGAAAGCCCCTCCCCTATTCTTCTACTTGAAGGTGACCTTCAGAGGTGTGGTATCTTTTCTGTTCCTGAATCTGGGGATGTCAAAAGTAACTATGCAAAGAGTCCAGAAGGTTCTGAATAGGAAAGCGTAACACAGGGAGATCCAGTGCCCTTCTGTCCCTGGTGGCCTACCTGTGTCACCCCTTAGGATGCCACCAAATAATGTGTAAGTTTGGAATCCCAGGGAGGAGAGTCTTTGGGTTGTATAGTGAGAGCTATTCTACCCACAAAAGAATGGGTCTGTCCCGGAGAGGTGTAGGCCAGATCTTTAACATGGTATCCCTGAAGAGGTCTGCTGTTGGCTGCCCCCTCGGTCAGTGAACATGTGCACTGCATTTCTGCAATTGTTTGCTGTATCCCTTGCCCCTTGAGCTGTATTGTTCTTTAATGGCTGTCTTGCCCTTCCAGGAAAAAAAAAAAAAAAAAAAAAAAAAAAAAAAAAAGGAAAGAAAAATAATTAAAAAAAGAAAAAGCTGAAAAGTTAAAAAAAAAAGTTTGTTTTTTAGTTTACTGTGAAAAAAACTGTATGGCTTATTTACAGTATTTTTAATTCTTAATACTTAATAGAGCTTTGTTATGACTTTGACAAGTGGATGCTTTCTGAGAATTTG